GTCCAATAGTGGAAGGGGAGAGGGAAGCCAAAAGGGGAAAGGAGTGGGGATCACTGGGATAGCAGAATTTAGTGGTCAGATGAGGGATAGTGAATGAATAGGAAAGATTCAATGGGAACTTGAAGGGACTTGATTATAATTGGCATAGATCAATAGTGACTGTTAGTATGAAATACAATGTACATAAATGATTGTGTGAAACACATTGTATAAAATACAATGCCCAGGAATGAAACACAATAAAATGAATTTTCAAAAGATAAAGTTCTTTTCTAGAGGAAAGCTGCATATGCATAAAGTATCATAGATTAGATGCTGTTAGGTGACATGGAAAGTAGGCAAAAAAACAACTCTGGTGTTGCAGGCTCCTAACCCAGTGCTAATTGAGCCCATGGAAAGCCGTGTGAGGAGGTGGCAGTTTGCTTTTGTAAAAATGTGAGCCTTAAAAGCATTGATGGACAGATCTACTCTTTAAAAAATATTTTTAATTGGTTTGCCTACAATGACTTATATAAATTGTGTCTTCGTACTACATATATACCTTGTGCTTTAAACATTCATAAACATTTTATATAATGAATTGCTTCTGATCTATGCCATAACCGATATTTTCAAGTCCCCATTGAATCATCTCTATTTCTTAACCCCCACCATCTATTTGCACATTAACCTCAGCTATCTCAGTGATTTACGTCCTTCCTTTTTTTATCTCCCCTTCATCTTTCTCCCTTCCCTTTTTAGAAGTTAATACATATCTCGCTCAGTTATACTTCTATTTTAATAATGGTCTTATGTAGTATCATTCTTATGAAATTGAGTAGTTAACTTAGCATAATGCTATCTAGACTTGACTATGTCGTACAGTATTTTACAGAATTATTGTTCTTTAGTGCCACATAGTATTCCATTCTATGCATATACCATACTTTCTCAATCCATTTGTTTTATTGATAGATATTTGCGCTGTTTCCAGTTTTTTCCTGTTGTGAACAATGCTGCTATGAACAAAGGTGTACATATCTCCATTTTTGCCTCAGTTCTGATTTTCTTGAAACGTGTTCATAGCAGTGCAGCAGGTGGATCATATGGGATTTCTATTTGAGCTTTTTGAGGAAATACCACACTGCCTTTCAGAGTAGCTATACCATTATATAATCCTACTAACAGTGCTTGAGTTAGCTCTGTATCCTCTCCAACATTTGTTGCTTGATGTCCTATTAAACTTGTGCTACTAACACTCAGATGAGATGGTATCTCATTGTAGTTTTGATATGCACCCCATTGATTGCCAGTGATTTTGAGCATTTCTTTTTTTTAAGGTGAAGTAAAAGAATTTATTTTATTATTCTTTTTTAATAA